ACTTCTGGCTTCACAAAATGTGACGTAACGGCCTCTCCTCAGTTTATTTCTTCCTACATGCACCATTCCCATGGTCGCCGTACGATTGCAGCACCAGAGTCCCCTTTAGTTAATTTTAAGAAACTATGTTCTAGCTCAGTCCTTCCCTTCATGCATTTTCACTTGCTTTCTCCTCTCCTTGTGCTCATCATAACGTGTAGCATGACCAGTCAAGGCACACAATTCAACACTTGTGCTCATGAGTGCATTCGCTGACTGGCACAGGTCGGCAACGACGTCTGTGGATAGTGGTGAGCAGGCGACAAAACAGTGGGCAAGCAGGTGCAGAAATGCGGTGAAGTGTGACCATGCCCTTTATTATAGCAACGACAGAGAATACCCTTGGCCCGTGGCTCCGCTTAATGACAGAGTCACTCCTCGGCCACTTTTTTTATTTGAAGTGCCATCTAGCGAACACACCGTGAAGTAAGATCCGAAGTTGCAGAATGTTTCCTTTCTACATGAGTGAAGCCAGCGCTCCTGTCTTATCTTACTCCATAACCTCACCGCTCACAAGCATAACATGGGTGGCTGTAGGAAGGATGAGTTTGAGTGCCAATGTTGTGATAATTGGTAAGGTCACATGCACCAAGACCATATGTTATGAAGCACACTGTAGTAGAGGGCTTTGGAATATTTGACCACATAGGGCTCATTAGCATGCCTGAAGAAGTACATTACCATACCGAAATAAGTACACCTAAGTTGGAGAACACTGACCTTTATATTCTGCCAAGAAATTAGGCTGTTAAAGTAGGGATCAAGCCTGTCTTTTGAATATTTACTTCCGTTGAATTGGCTATTTAAGAGAAGTAAGCATCCCACCGAAAGTTGCACATGCCATGCATGGAGAGTGAGGTGAACAGGAAGAGAGATAAATCCCTACTTCGTCACTTGGAACAGTACAGCTCAAAGCAGCACACGGACGGCGACAGTGGAAGACAGCACTCACTGCTTACACATAAATGTTTATTGCACGTGATCGCATATATACACGCCCGACACGAAGCAATGGATATGACGGGGAAGATCTACAAATCAAACAGATGGCTGATGCGACAAAAATACCATTTCCTTTTTCGATAAACAAATTGAAGAGCAGCTTACAGAGTCTCTATCTTAAGTCTTGGCCACTTCTGGCCACTTCAATTCTGACTAGCTCTAGAGAGAAATCATTGAAGCGGAGGAGATTAAACATAGAGATGCCCTAAGTTCTGTCGCTGGCATTTGTGTCGCATCTGTGTCGCTCGCATTTTTTTACGGCAACCCAACGCGTATGCTGTGAATTTCTAGTACAGGTTAGCATGGCCACACCTACGACTGACCACGATAGGGAAGCATGCGTGTGCTGTCATTTGCAAATAATATTTTCGTTTGACGTGGCAAACAGCAGACTGTACGTGCCATCATGATTCTGTGTTTTTTTTTTCTAAATAATAAGTGACATGGCCTTGAATATCACGTCTTTCAACTAATTTTACACTTACATATTGACGCAGCTCACCCACTAACGTGCTTATTTTTAAGTATTTCCTTCTGCGGGGCGCTCAGCTGTTACTGCATTTGTAGTTACACCACTCTGTTCCCGTCTTAGATTGCTGGTATACAGTAGCTTCAGCTTGTATCTGTGTACAAGGCGTGTCCTATTTTAATAAAACTACGCGTTCAGCGGTCGCGGTTTGGCAAAATGTTCAATCATCGTTCGTGATTGACCTCTGCAGAATGCAGCTGCTGAAAAAGCATTGAAAGCGAAATCTATCCACGGTAACCTTTTTTTTAGCGAAGTCAAGCTCGTTTGGCGTTTACGCATTGCATCGCTCACCTCATAGTCGGGCGTCGTGCTTGTTATGCCTAGCTACCTGTACTGCTCGTATCTCCACCAGATCAGGTATTAATAAATTGGCTATTACAAAAGAAATACTTAGAGGAACACTTGAAATTATCAGCACATTGTATGCCTGTTCTACTATAGGTATATTACTAGGGCACTTTTTCTCGCCTACATGGCATTACTGACATCATTTTCTCCCACTGGTGTGAAGGTCGACGCCTTCAGAACCACCGGCTAATCGTGTAAACATTGCTGCATTTAATGTCAATGACAAATGCTGTGTCCGCGAATTCCACGGTGTCACCGCTGGCCCGATTTCGTGCGGCTGTTAGCTGCTGTGTCGCACTATTTTCGGTATCAGGGTCAGTACATGGCGGCCGTGCGCTTTAGCGTAAACGCCGTAAGCTTGTTGTAACTGCATTGATAGTGAGTGTGATTGTGCTGATGAAAAAAAAAAAACTACACATCTAAATGCCTTTCATGCTTTCGTCTTGATGCCTCAGTTCCTCTTTCATTGTGCCAAAATGTCGATGACACGTAGTAAACCTACCGTGGATCTGTGCTGGGAGTGCCTATGCGTAAATATCGAATGTGTCAGACAGTCGAAACCATCCATGCAGGATTTGGGACAAATGTTACCCACCTGACGCAAGCCATCCAAAGGCTATACCACTCACAGTGGCTCTCCTTATTGCCACAAAACCCACTTCAATTTTCTTTCATGATTCCAAGGGAATCTGAACATCTTATTTCCCTTGGGTGCTCTAACTCGTGCAACCGGCAGCTGTACAACCAACCATGATTGTGCGAGCGATTTCATTGCAACACAATTGAAATAAAAAACGAGTCTACAGCTCAGAAAAGATGGCCAGCAAAACACCGTGCCACGGATGTCTTGAACCGAAAGCCGATGCAGATGGCACATTCCATGAGCCTTTGCAGGTTCACGCCTCACCTATTGCCTTGTGTGCCCCTCCTCCCCGCTTTCTCGATCTTTTGCACAGAGCAGAGGGTTATATATGTGATCACATGCAATGAAGATTGAGTTGTTAGCGCTGTGTCCCATGTTCATCCATCACCATCCATGCGCTGCTTTGCACTATTATTTATTTATTTACACATACTGATGTGCTGATTGCCCTAAGGCAAGGTATACAAAGATACACAGAAATATAACTAAAAACAATGAGAATAACGCAAACAGTTAACATAGTAATGTCGTGTCCTAGTAACAGCGCAACAACTTCAGAAAGAGACAAAGAGGACAGGAAAGCGTGCCGACTGTCAACTGAATTTTGTTGAATGGGCTACGACAACTTTTATACTGAGCACAAGAACAGTGCTCATGCGCGACGACAAATGTGTGACTATGACAAAATAATCGTAACCGAGAAAAAATACTCTCTCTCTCGGAAAGGATAAGTGAAGGTGTACTGATGCATTGATTTCAAAAACCGTGTTTTATGAAACACAGGACTGTACTTGCATTCTTTACAGTGTTCTACTTTAAAACACGGTTTTTGAAAAAAGCAAGAACAAAATATGAAAGAGATTTTTGAAGCTTTTTTTATCAGGAAGGCCAAGGATCAATGCATCAGCACACCTTGACTTATACCCGTGCCACACGGGCATAGAAAATGACATTTGGTGGCGACGGCTTTCAGTTCCCGAATGACATTCGTTTCGCCAGCGCTGCTACACGTCCAAAGCGAATGACATTTGACTTGATGATGTCGATCACAGCACCTTCCAAGTGAGCATTGAGTGAATAACAATAAAAAAAATTAAGAAGCACTTACAAGCTTCAAACACATCAGATAATCATCAAATGTAGAAATAAGCGTATTACGCTGTCCTAAGCTTTAGTTTCTTGCTTTGTTTTACAACGTTGCAGCCGACCGTAGCAACCTAAGCCAACACTAGTCAGATCCACAGCGTAAATAGACACTAAAATTGACAAGCGTTTCATTATCAATATTTTATTTTCTTTGTATAACGTTCAAAGCACCTTTTTAAGACTTTAGTGCAAATAAAAGACGGGAAATTTCATTTTTAGCTCAATATGACTTCTTTTATATACTTTCAGGTAAATCGCACTTCCCGAGCTGTGTCGTCGAGAGTAGGCATTTCTCAGTCAACCGAGTTCTGGCGAAGGCAGTTGGTGGCGAATGGCATTCGAATGGCATTCGGATGAATGCCATTTTGTTCGCCCGTGTGGCACCGCGCGAATGGCAATAAATCTGAAGGCATTCGGGGGTAAATGCCATTTTTTCTGCCCGTGTGGCACGGGTATTATCCTTTCCGAGAGAGTATTTTTTTCTCAGTTAATGTTACTTTGTCACGGTCACACATGTGTCGTCTAGCATAAGCACTGTTATTGTACTCGGTATAAAAGCGGTCGTAGCACATTCAATAAAATTCAGTTGACAGTCTGCGCTCTTTGCTGTCCTTTTTGTCTCTTCGTGATGATGTCGTGCTGTTACTAGAACACAACCACGATGAACCAACTCGTCCAAATTAAGCTCTTGCTGCTGCAAATAATAATGTCGTGTGAGCATTAAGGCAAAAATATCAGAACATGAAAAGATAAAACAAACAAATGTCATTTGCAAACAGATCAGCATTAGTTATACTATTAATTATGAAGTACAAATCTGTTCTTTTGAACTTCACCCACATTTCGTGTTCACCACTCGTGAGCATGAAGTCAAGTCATTATATTCACTATACATTACTCATTTCACTCTGCATGAGTACTTTATATTATCGTCCCAAACTTCTTCAGGAACTCCAGGTGCACAGTGTAGAAAATGACCAACCACACATTAATCAGGCAGTAGGCAAAGTGATTGCATATGACAAAAAAAAAAGGCAGCCTGTGCTAGCTCGAAATTAGTGCCCCTTTAGTGATACAGAAGCTTGTTCCCACTTAGAACAACACAATGATGCATTTTTCAGGACAAGCAGCTGCCGAAAGTATCAAGAAAATGACACGGAAGTGGCTACTGGATACCGAGTATGCTATACATGATATTCATGCTGGTGTTAATGTAAATACAACACTGTGGGAAGCTTCAACAATGCACCCCGCAACCAGAGAAAAACAAGTAGGAATTTTTTCTTTACTCACTGTCATTGTTGATGGAAAATATTGAGGAGCTGATGTTGTCGCACAGCTGGTGATAGCGTTGTGGAGTGTCTGGCATGGAGAAAAGAGAGCAGTGGGTCTTGGCATCAATCGTAATGCTAAAGGTGCGCGGCCGAAACACACTGCATCAAATGAGTGATAGAAGTAGTCACACGTTACAACATTTCATGAAGAGAGTTGGTACCTTCCGGTAGCAATATGTGTGACAAGGACTTCATTGAAGAACAATCACCAGTTCTCCTGGACGGTGATAAGATAAGCCATCCAGGTACATTGGAATAACACATGGCATGTTGCAATGCAGCACTTTCTTTGTAATAACTGGCAATAAATGATAAAGGCATGCATCTACTTTTACAAATGGACGACAGCCCTCGAGATAAAAGGTGAAAGTTTGGGAGGCTAATATATCAACACCGCAAACCAATTAGCTGAAATACAGCAAAAATACTGTTATTATGACAATACCATCACACATTCTTTTGCTGCTTAAGATCAGAAAAGAGGCCGAGCAAGCTTGTAGGTGTGGCTAATTTCAGTGCTTGCAGAACTTGACACATTCACACTCGCTAAGCAGGTCAGCTAGAGATACAGCATAACTGCCTTTGCTCTTATAAATTCAAGAAGCGATCTCTCACCTATGACTATAAATTGCATGGCTTGTTAAACAAAAAAGAAGAGGTGCTGCGTTGCTGGCTGTACACTGCATACACATTAAATGTGCGCAGTGTTTGTAGAAACAACTGCACGGTGTATGTGACTGCACTATATAGAATTGCGTTCGCCTGTGTGCTCATGCAGAATGTGAGGAGGAGGAGGAGGATGAAAGGATGAAGAACAGGGAGGTTAGCCAGTTCTCAGGTACCTCTAGGGTGCCCACCTGCACTGCTTGTTACTTTATGGACGGCAAACCAAATGAATAACTTTGTGCCGGGGACAATCAATCGACAAGATAATTTATGGCTGCTGGTAGATCGACGTCGCTCGCCGTGTGTGCTGCACGCGTCTGAATATTTTGTGAATAAAATCGCTCACTATTCGCGCGCAGTATGTTTTCCAGCATGCGCTATGACGAAGACTGCAACGAGTATGACATGAAGGCGCCGATAAACTTGTGTTATCGGTATGATCGCGGCCGCCATGAAATGCATACGCGCGCCTCTGCCCGCTTCAAGGGAGGAGATGACATTTCCACGGTAACAGCTGTTTTACGTCGTTCGCTATAATTGACGGGCGTAGGCAGCGATCAATCGTGTAGAGTAGTGGATCAACTTACCGGATGAAACTCGTGACGGGCTGTCCATGCCACCGAATCCTTGCTGCGTGCTCCCGTAGTTTTGGGCGGTGCGGCCCCCGCCGGGACTGTTCCACAGAGACATCGTCGGAGCCTTGTCAAACGCACCTGACCGGGCACACCCACCAATCAGCGCCGGTCAGGCCGATGATGCAGCAGTCCAGATGGTTCACACGCAGCTATCACCGCTGTCAAAGCGGCGACTATGAACGTTACACCGTTCATGCGCTGCACGGCGATGTAGAAGAAAACAATGTCAAGGTGCCACAGAACGCCACCAGAGCCCGAAGAGCGGCTGTCGCAACAGCTGTTATCTGTACGGACGGATGCTCACACGGAGTCCGTACGCTGGATTGAAACTTCGTTTCGTGCACTAAAGTGATCAGCTGTCGCGAAGCGCTCCGCCGACTTCTTAGAGCAAATCTTGTACCCGCAACGGACCACCGACGACAGCGGTGTACGCTACGTAGAGCAAGATTGCTCCGGAACGGTGATTAGGCGAGACTGATACGACTCTACCGTGGAAAGAAAGATAGGAGATTTCGTGGGTTCAGTAAGCGTTGACGGACGCACCCACGGCACTGCCGGGATTCACAGCATACTTCAGAAGTGAATGCAGTGGAGGGCTATTTGAGTAACAAACACAACACGAAAGAAACTTGGCACAACTTTAGACAACACACGCGTGGAGAGATGAAAGCACGAGGGGGCGGAGACCCGTAGTAACGTTGGTAATGTGCGCAGGATCGCTTCCCTGATTTTACCACAGATGACGCCACTTGATAGGTGCGCAAATGTGGCGCGGTGCTTCTGAATATTTCGCTTTGTCATACGCCGCGGCATGTGTACCGATGCAGGAGTCAAGATGTCATCGTCAGGCGAAGGGGGTTTGTCAGCGTTTGTTGACATCATTGTACCCATTGGACCACCTCTATCATTGGGCTTTTTCGTTCCTCTATCAATCACTGCGATCTCGTCCTATTTATTGCAGATCAATTCAGTCTTGTACCGATATTCAGATAAAAATCAAAGGATCAATTTGTGCAGCATGAACAGGCACTAACAATTTACAACAAAAGAGTGCCTACTAGAGCTCGTTGGATGGTATTGCATTTTCGAAAGTAATATACTGTAATATAAGTAATATACTAATATAATAAAAGGAAGACAGAGAGTACAGAACGCTCTGTCCTATCTATCTTGCTTCTGAAACGTTCCCTGCGCACCAACGTTACTGGATGGAGCCAGTTGGGAAACTGCATGGGCTCGCCACGGAAGCGGCGTGGCCGCTCACAGTCTCCCAAAACGCGGGGGCGCTGCGATCGCTTTGCGACCTGGTCATGTGACGAGCTTCGTGCGTCGTCTGCTCGTCGTCTGTTCCGCGCCCCGTCTCCGAAGGACGGCGCAGCGTTTTTGGAGCACTTCATATCTCAAGGAATCTTGTTAGCGGATGCATATTGAGAGCTTCCTGCTACAACCACTGCATAGATGAAGGTGGACACAGCTTGGAGCTCTGAACGAAGTCTGAGTGGTTCTTTTTGCCACGTGCTGATGGTGCTGACTGCATTCCGCAGGTGTTTCGATGTGATGAGCTTGTGCTTGCCTAATGAATAGGTGCCTCCGAGAGCATAAACTGAAATTTCCTGAAAATTTTTTTGAGATCGCATTGCTCGTGCAGTCCTTACATTGAGCGTTTTCTATAAAAGCATGCTCTTATTTGAAAGCGACAGTAAGCGTTCTAAATGAAACAGTCGCGAGTTCTGAAAACTTGCGCATGTTTTTATTGTATACAATGCCGCTGCATTTACGCTGCGGTGCGTTATCTGTGTGGCTTGTCAGGGAGAATAATACGATGATGTATATCTTACGAGACAACTCACTTTTTTTTTTTTGGTTCCCAGCACAGCAATCTTTTGCAGAAGAAACACGTAGTTACAAACAAATTTTAACAGAATGGTTCGTAACAGTCGGCTTGTATTTTTTAAATGCATACCGTTTGTAAGTAGATACAGTTTTTAAATTGTGCAAATTCAACTATTTTATTAAGTGTACTTAAGTAAAGTGTGGGATTGGGCTAGTTGGTAATCCATATAAAACTTCTAGGCGCGTAAAACTTCAGACAACTAACACAAGAGACGAGGACGAGCGCAGACTTTCAACTGATTTATTACTACTACGACACACATATATATGTTAGAAAGAAGATAAGATCACTTGCTTAAAAAAAAAAAAAAAAAAAAAAAAAAAAAAAAAAAAAATCAAAAGGCGAAAAAAAAGTTTTACGCGCCTAGAAGTTTTATTAAGTGTAAAGATTGTTTTTTCCGATTGACAATTAAATGTATCGAATGTGCATGACTAGGAACACGGAATGCCAATCGAGTGGATATGAATTAAGGAGCTTGGAGAAGCTCCTTCATCTCTTCGTCACCTCTTCATGAAGGGAGGAATGCAATCGAATTAAAAAGAACAGCGTCATTTTAGTTTGACACTCGAATACCCAAATTTCGAACCAATGACATGCGTCGCCGGTAAGCTGGCTGTGTTCTACGTGGGACTCCTGCTAGGTTATTTAATGCTGTTCCGATGTTCCCGTGTCCTCATTACAGCCCTTAATTCACTGAGATCTGTGCATGTTGCTGTGCAATAACTGTAAGAAAAGCCACCAAACACATTTGTTCAAGTTCCTGTTTTTTTTTTTACTTGGCAACATTTCTATGTTAAATCACTGCGTAGTTTATTGGTGCGTAGTCTAGAGAAGTTTGGCTTTCTTTTTTGTAGAAGACACCCTGCCAGAAGCACTCAGCTTCTTACAAACATCTCTCGTAAAAAAGTGCATTCTCAAAACAACGTATGAGTGTACAATCTCCGATGTCAGGATGTCCTTATGAACTGAACAACCAACGCTTGGAACATCGCAGTCTTTGATGACATCCAGCGCATCCCAAAACATGTCGGCGCACAGATGGTTTTCTCCTAGCACGAGAGACAGTTTTTCTTCGACGCGTTTCAACATTGTGTAAAGTTCTGTAGAGGGATGCTTGAGGCTTCCGTTCCTGAATTCTCTTGCCAATGTCAGTAGTGAAGCGGGGAATTTAGTGTTTGTTGACTGGATGCTGCTTATGCAAGCAGCGCAGTTGACGTGCTTCAGAAAAGAATGTACAATGTAGCCGCAGAGGTAATATACGACGCACTCCTGTACTGCTGGCAAAGCATATCCGTGGTCCGGAAGCGGTGTCGGTCCCGAGTGGGATGCTGAACTTATTCCAGGCAAGCAAACCTCGGAAATCTTTGCGCTGATTGTCTCACGCAACTTTTCATACGTTGCCAGCTGCTGCTTCTTCCCTTGCTTCATCGTCTCTTGCACTGTGGCTAGTATTAAGGTTGGCTCCTCTTGGACATTGCCTGCAATCGAAGCCTTGACAGGTGTGTACAGGCTCAGCAACCTGTAGATATGGGAAAAGCTCAGGATCGTCGGATGGTCTTCGTCACCTCCAAAGCTCCTGGTGATTCCGAAGAACCTCTGTAATGGTAGTAATAAAGCCGTACGTCAGTTCACCGTATGTATCTCTTTCAGAAGTCAAAGTACGCATGGCGTATGGAATGCATAAAGAGGATTTATAGAGTGCAAGTCTCAGGCGGGAATTGCACATCTCACATAGAGATATGACGACTGTTTAAAACCACGCTATGCTTCCTCATAACCGTTTTGTTTATTTTCCATGCAATGAAGTAAGTGCGCAGTTTTATGGAATTATGCTAATCTCACCTCCAAGGGGTCTTGATTAAGCTTGCCTGTGAGCACGTAGCGTGCACCTTTAGCAAGGAGGTCATTTGTTAGTTCCAAGATAGATGACAAAGTCACCCTTAGAGACTCCATTGTTACTTGAGATGCGAACATGGCTGTTCCTTTCTCAACGTGGTTTCTCTCTGTCAAGTCCAAGATAATCATGAAATCTTGGATGATCTAGAAAAGGGAAAAGTTTATGTTAGACATTACTTTTTTGTGCAAGCTAGCTCTTACATGCAAACGTCGACGCCTATAAAAAAAGGGACCTTTGAAGAAAGGCATAAAGTTATTTTTAACCTGATTTTTTAATGAAACATGTGTGCCACTGAATGAAAATGGAAGCTGGTAATACTTGAAATCACGCTTGCGGCGTGTCGCCTTCTCATCGACGTTTATTTCAGTTATCTGGAAGGAGAAGTTCTAAGTTCCAAGACATTTATTCGTCGTCTTTCTTTCAATAATACCTTCCTTCAATTACAAAATAAATGTCTACTTAAACTAGGCTTTTGTTGGTGTAAATGTTTGTCGGCGTTTTGTATTTTATTTATATGCCCAGTGCCTCAGTTCTTGATTAACATTACCTATTGCGAATGTTCTTCAAAAGTAGCACATTTTATCGCCCTTGCCTTAATTTCCTTGGATGTGCTCCTTATCCCAAAACGAGGAAGCTTGATGTTCAGGGCATCAAAAAGGTCATTTATGATGCGGGTAAACGCGGCTGTCCCCTCGCAGTCTTCCAGGCCATCTTGCTTGAGTCTCCGGTACACATCAAGGCCGATAGCCGTACTTCGGCTGAGCAGCTAGGGGACAGAAAACGTATAGGGGCATTTTATTAATCGCAAAAAGACTTAAGGAGAACACTTCACAGTACCAGTTAAGTTTGTGTTTCACATGTGAAGAATTTGCCTAAATAATCAGGTAAGCTATAAGTTCTTTCAAAAGCAGCTTTTCGTAATCTTACCTGTACTGCGAGCTTCACACTCATTTTTCTCATGTTGTCAGGGCAGACGTGTTCAGCGGTAAGCTTCGGAACAATGCGGAGTTGCTCTTTGCCGTCTACTTCTTGCAAAACTCGGTAGTGGTCATAGTTTATGCGATGTTCACCAATCTATGAGCAAGAAGAAGAGAGGGAAAAAAAAAGTCCGTCAGTCGTATGTAGTGCTGCGAAGAAAATGTATTTTGATTGGCACCGCGACACTATTTATTGCGATATTGTACTGTACGTGGTACTTACCATGCCATATTTGTGTCGAAGAAGATGGTTTCTAATGCATTTGACAATGTGGGGTACATCGCAAAGGAAGTAGAGGCTTTGATTTGGCTCGCATGGGTGCTGAACTTTGTGGTTTGCTGTGTGAAGCTTTCCTGATATGCCAAAGTTGGACCACATTGCTTTGTTCGTGCTGGCGCCATCACTGATTACTGCGACGACTATGGCGTTGTGTTTGCGTAGCTGCACGATTGCATCAAGAACTATTTTGGCGAGCACGTGTCCGGGGGCTGCGTTTTTTGTTGCAAAACTTGCAATCGGTTGAACCCATGAGTGGAATAGAGGCACAAACATTGCAACCAATGCATGATCAGCAGTAGCTGCTGAAACTTCACCGTCTCCGTAATTTACGAACCCATCAATCTTGTATGTTTGACGGTTGAAAGCTACGGCTTGGCGTACCTTCATTTCATCTATTACTAGTGTGCCGTAACACTGGACTCCTTTCATAGTCTTCATGAAAGCCCCTATGCTGGAAAGGGAGAGCTTATTAAAGCCAAACTCACAAGGCATTCCTCTTATTATTTGTCGGAGCCTAGTCGAAGTTGGAAGAGGGAGGATTTTCATTCTTGACATCAAGCGGTACACACGTGGGCTTGAAATCTTCAAGAGAAGGCAACTCAGCAGCCACCCACAGTCATACCGCACACCTCTTGAAGATTTCGCTTTCAT